CTTCTCGCTCGATATTGAGCCTCGCTAATCGTTTGCAGAGACAAAAAATAACATTTATGTGAAAAATTCGATGGGAGAATATTATCGATACAGAACTGATTTTCATTTGCACAAAGGGTAGTTGTCGTCCAATTTTTAAAAAATGCAATGATTAGAAAAAGTGAACTTTTACGTGCTGTGGTCACAAATAATCATTATAAATCACAGAAATGGTTTTCGGTTACGAATAATCATATTATAGACGACGAAAATTGTCGTTTATCGCAATAATTTGTTTCGAAATAAACAGAGGGCACAGTAATTGATAATCAAACAATGAACTTCTTGCCTCAGCAATCGAGTAAAATGTTCGTCTTAAATGACTACAAATTTTGTGATATAGTAAGTTAACCTCTGCAAAAGTGAAGCATAATAGTAAAAGTTTATACAAAATGCAAGATACACGTTTCCAGACTGTTATTATTAAATTTGACATAAGTTTATAGAAAAAAGAAAATAGATTGTTCATCTCCCTATCGCTCCGGATTCTGGAAAAATTCTTCACAATCGAACGAACTCGCTTTAACGAAAGCGGAGAATTGTTTAACAGTGACTAAATTAATAAATCGTCGATGCAATCGCTCTCATTACGAACGAACCCGACCGGTGAATTTGATGAAGTTAATCGAACGTGGTCGAACTATTTGCGCCACGCGAGATATGCGAGACATTATTATCGTAAAATGGAAAGTGCGTTCATGAAACGCGGTCTAAGAGTTTCTACCGGTCGTCAAATTTCGGGTGTCACGATCTATTCTGTGTCACTCGTGCTATGGAACCGGTTCCCGAGTCTACCAGCCATTAACATCGGCGACACGAGCGAGTTAGAGGCACGAGCAAGGAATCCTAATTATTTAATCAGAGTTGTTCCCATTCTTGCGATCGGCCGATCATCCAGCGCGAATCGTTAGCGAAGTCGCGTGCGTGCTCCTGATAATCGACATTCTCAGAATTGAAAGCTTTTTCGAACGGGGCACAGTAATTTCTCCCTAATTCGCGCTCGGATTGCGCAGAAAAATGGACAATTTGGGAACAGGAGACAGGATTACTCGAGTCCCGCGGCTTGTTTTTATAGTTACCGATTGTCAACGATTATAGAAATGAGGCGCAAGGCTCGAATAATCGTGCTGTCTCTTATACACATCTGATGTGTATAAGAGACAGCACGATTATTCGAGCCTTGCGCCTCATTTCTATAATCGTTGACAATCGGTAACTATAAAAACAAGCCGCGGGACTCGAGTAATCCTGTCTCCTGTTCCCAAATTGTCCATTTTTCTGCGCAATCCGAGCGCGAATTAGGGAGAAATTACTGTATTGCAATTTCTGTCTAATTTGCACTCGAATTGCGCAGAAAAAACTGTCTCTTATACACATCTAGATGTGTATAAGAGACAGTTTTTTCTGCGCAATTCGAGTGCAAATTAGACAGAAATTGCAATACAGTAATTTCTCCCTAATTCGCGCTCAGATTGCGATATAAAATGGACAATTTGGGAACAGGAGACAGGATTACTCGAGTCCCGCGGCTTGTTTTTATAGTTACCGATTGTCAACGATTATAGAAATGAGGCGCAAGGCTCGAATAATCGTGTCAACTCTTCCCGAATTGTCCATTTTTCTGCGCAATCCGAGCGCGAATTAGGGAGAAATTACTGTATTGCAATTTCTGTCTAATTTGCACTCGAATTGCGCAGAAAAAACTGTCTCTTATACACATCTAGATGTGTATAAGAGACAGTTTTTTCTGCGCAATTCGAGTGCAAATTAGACAGAAATTGCAATACAGTAATTTCTCCCTAATTCGCGCTCAGATTGCGATATAAAATGGACAATTTGGGAACAGGAGACAGGATTACTCGAGTCCCGCGGCTTGTTTTTATAGTTACCGATTGTCAACGATTATAGAAATGAGGCGCAAGGCTCGAATAATCGTGTCAACTCTTCCCGAATTGTCCATTTTTCTGCGCAATCCGAGCGCGAATTAGGGAGAAATTACTGTATTGCAATTTCTGTCTAATTTGCACTCGAATTGCGCAGAAAAAACTGTCTCTTATACACATCTAGATGTGTATAAGAGACAGTTTTTTCTGCGCAATTCGAGTGCAAATTAGACAGAAATTGCAATACAGTAATTTCTCCCTAATTCGCGCTCAGATTGCGATATAAAATGGACAATTTGGGAACAGGAGACAGGATTACTCGAGTCCCGCGGCTTGTTTTTATAGTTACCGATTGTCAACGATTATAGAAATGAGGCGCAAGGCTCGAATAATCGTGTCAACTCTTCCCGAATTGTCCATTTTTCTGCGCAATCCGAGTGCAAATTAGACAGAAATTGCAATACAGTAATTTCTCCCTAATTCGCGCTCAGATTGCGATATAAAATGGACAATTTGGGAACAGGAGACAGGATTACTCGAGTCTCGCGGCTTGTTTTTATAATTACCGATTGTCAACGATTATAGAAATGAGGCGCAAGGCTCGAATAATCGTGTCAACTCTTCCCGAATTGTCCATTTTTCTGCGCAATCCGAGTGCAAATTAGACAGAAATTGCAATACAGTAATTTCTCCCTAATTCGCGCTCAGATTGCGATATAAAATGGACAATTTGGGAACAGGAGACAGGATTACTCGAGTCTCGCGGCTTGTTTTTATAATTACCGATTGTCAACGATTATAGAAATGAGGCGCAAGGCTCGAATAATCGTGTCAACTCTTCCCGAATTGTCCATTTTTCTGCGCAATCTAAGTGCGAATTAATTATATTATTATTATTACTGTACTTCGAAAGCTACAGTGGGTAATGAAAAGTATTGGCACACATTTTAACCCTTTGCACTCGACTGACGACTCCGAGACACCAATAAAAACTGTCACGTCATGTTTCAAAATAATTTTATTGATCAAATTCGTTTATATTTAAAGAACTGTCGAAAGCGTAACTGTTGCATGAGTCACAAAATTCAATTTCATATGTTCAAAATGCATTATATAAAATGAAAATACCATGGGTCAGAGAAACTATATTATATTTTGCATTAATTTGGCTTTGAGTGCAAAGGGTTAAGACGACATAACTTTTTTAAAACTGGTCTGAATCACTTGACTTTTTCGGAGTATGTTCGAGGGACCAGTTTACTGGACAACGACTAAAATACTAATAAATAAAATTTTGCTTCTTCGAATGACAATGAAAATATAAAAGTTCACGCTTTTGCAACTTTTTTATCCGAGTTTATTCCGATACTTTCATTCGAGCTTTTTCAATCAAAAACTCTGAGAAATCTGTAGTTCTTCATGTCTTTAATCGCCTGTCGTTTTCAGTGTATATGTAAGTTATCGAGATCTGTAAAATCGATTTTTCAAATTTTCAACTTTGGCTCACTCGAATAAAGTAGTTCGGGTGTATCGACTATCCGAACATTTCGGATGCCTTCGGGTCGGGTCCCGAAAGTTCACAAAATTCGGTTACCCGAAAGTTCGCGAGTTTTGGGAATCTGAGATTTCGGGTACCGGAATCCTTACCAGAGTCGGACAGTTATCGTGTGTAGCACTGCGTGGTACAACAATTGCTCCTACTCAATTATGTGTAAATGAGGAAATGCGGACATATTTCTCAGTAAACACTGTTCCCCGAAAGACAAATGTCACGGATCGGTGGGAGTGTAAGTACAATAATGTAATTGTTAACGTTTTCCGTTACTGGAAGCGATAGCATCGCACGAACGAGATTACTCCCAGAAAAACAATAATAGAATAATTATGTTTTCTACACTCTAATGTGAAATAAAATAGATTTTCTACATTATCGAAACGTATGAAAATTGGGAAGAATTATATTCTATATCCAGTAGATTAAAAATACATAAAAATTATATTATTACATCAAAATAATAATTATTGTGCAACGTTTTTTTTTGTCATATTGATTATAATAGTTATGGTCCCTGGAATTTGTGCATGTTTGAACTGGTGACAGCAATGCCTACGAGACTTTTCGTTGAAAATTGTGAGAGGTGTCATTAATAATAAATATATGTTCAATTAATAGATATATTAATAAATATATATCATTAATAATTAGACTGCGGTTTTTTGCACAAATGAAAAATTGTTTCTCACAATTGTAAGCAATTGTAAGCGACAGGAGCCGAATTCTTAGCATTAAATTTACCGAGCACTAAAACCGAATAAACTTGTGTTTATAATTTTTAATTATATAAATATATTATTAATAAATATATTAAATAATATATATTATTAATAAATAAATATATTAATTATATTAAAAAAAATATATATATATATATATTGTTATAAAAATAACAAGACTCGAATGCAGAAGTTTATTCCATCATCTCCCACGAAGGAATCTTAACAACTTCGACAATTATAAAATCAAAAATGTGAAATCGCTGGTTAAATATTTTTCAGCATTTTATTATTATCACTATCATTTACTCGTTTCTGTCGTGAATGCATAACGCTCCCCCGTTCGCAATGCAAAAATCAAGATTCAAGCATCGAAACTGAAAGCGTGGAATTTAAGAATCTACAGTCACTCATCCACGAGAATCAGAAAATTCCAGGGGACGCCTATGAAAACGGCATATAAAACCGTGCTGTGGCTGGTACGAACTTATCGGACACTCTTCAGGACCTGTACGATCGAACGAGGAAAATTTGTTCGTTGGTGAATTTCAGATGCATCGACGTCCAAGGTAAATCGGAGGCCAAAGTATTCGACTAACCGCGGATAAGCGTTTTATTACGCTGATACTTGCGTTTGGTATGCACACCGTGCGATGCAGTCTCCATGTTTTACTACGTAACAGATCGTGTTTTTAACCGAGAGTCCGTACTTCCCCGGCTTATATTTTCCTTAACGGCCGCCGTGACATTGACGACCTTACGGCGGTCGATCCGAATCAGTATAAAAGCCGTGCGCCGCGGTAACCGGGCATAGTTACTGTTCAAACTTTGTCCAAGATGAGGGCTCTCCTAGGATCGGCAGTATTCGCTGCTGTTTTGGTCTCTTGTTTCGCAGCCTGTCGTCCGGGATTAAATGGTCTGAACGATCATTATCAGTGCGAAGGACTGAACGATTTGGCGAACGTAAGTTTGGCTGTTGTTTCGACGTTCAATACGCTGTTTTGGTTCGATGCATTGGGTGGGCTAACATCAATATATATTTTGAAAGAATAAATATATATGTATATATGAATTCATTATTAATTAATACCATATATTTATATATATATAGTATTAATTGATACTACATATAAATTTAGTATTAATTAGTACTATATATTAATTTAGTATAATTAATACTATATATATTAATTTAGTATTAATTAATAATGAATTTATATATATATATATTTATTTATGTACATGTATATTATTATATATTATATTATATTATATATATATATAATATAATATAATATAATAATATAATATATATTATATATTATATATTATATTATATTATATATATATATAATATAATATAATATAATAATATAATATATATTATATATTATATATTATATTATATTATATATATATATATATATATATATATATATATATATA